CATTCCATGACAATCAGTTTGATATAGAATTGGTTTTTGAATCCCTGAAGTTAGAAAATTGTATCTTTTATATTCTTCTAAAATTAGATTACATTCTTCTTTGTCAAAAAAAATTAACAAAATTGTTCATATATACTTTGTAAATTTTAGTTGCATGCATAAAATGAGTTTTAATTGAATTTGGGAACTTGTTTTTTTGTAACATTGCTTCTTAAAGGAATGCATGTTGTTTGCCACATTGATTGCAAAAGTTTTTAACTCATTTCTTGCTTTATCTGAGCATGTTTTGAAGATGGCTCTCAGCTTCTACCACTCCAATTTGAGCTAATTAACTATAACAAATGAGTTATAATCACTTTTGTGTTTGCTGTGGCAGCCATCTTAAATCAGACTGATTCCAAGTTGTAGCTATACATTCAATAATTACTTTGTAAGAATTTTACTGAAATCCATTCAGCAGTTTATGAAATACTTTGCTAACAGACACACACATATACAGTCATTTACATGATGGTGAGCAATAATTGCCACCTAAACTTATCACGTTTCAACTTTAATAGATGCAAAAGTTTTTGGCACCACTGATACAGTGATGATCTATTACACCTTTTTCAAGTCTTTCCTACCTGTCCGGGTTTCCTTCTGTTTCGATGCTGCAGTTCACCAGCAGGCTCACCAATCCTTCACCAGACGTCTGCCAGGTGCAGCGATGGCCCTCCTTAGTACTCAGCTGTCCAGAACTCAGCACTGAGCGGTTTCTGAGTCTCTTGATTGGTGGGGTTGATGGCTGAGGCTGGCGAGGTTTGTCACGTCTCTCCTGACCAGGCTGGCGCTTGGCCTCAGTGAGAATGATGAGGCAGAAGAATAGGACGACACTGCACAGAACAGCCCGCATGGTGGCTGCAGAGGGACATTTAGTTTTTAAAAAATGTCGGCATATGGCTAGAAAGAAAATCACACTACCGCAAAAATATACAAGTGGCTAATCAACATTACAAACAAAGCACCAAAATGTTTGTAAAGTGGTCACTTTGTTCTTTCTATTATTGGACCATCATTCCCAGAACACAGCCAACATTTTATAGTTTTAGCAAAAATTGTGAATTATAAAATGCTATTAAATTGATTTCACTGAACAGAGTGCATAACTCATTCAAATTGACTTTATAGATCCCATCATGCCAATTACAAACATTGTCAATCAAAAAAAATTATTAAAACCTTCATAATTTCTGAAAATATCTGATGTATGGGTGCCTAATGCATCTACTGCGTAAAATTCCAGTATTAACCAACGTTCCTCTAGAAAGCTGAAATCTTTTGGGAATGACCTGTGTGATTATTTTTGCTCCTGTTTGGTATCAGTCAGACCTCTATAGCACGACTACAACTGGTCCAGAATGCAGCAGCCCGATTTTTAACCAGTACAGGCAAAAGAGAGCACATTACACCAGTTTTGGCCTCACTGCACTGGTTACCGGTTCACTTTCGAATCCAGTTCAAAATACTCATGTATGTCTACAAATCACTGAACAGTCCCCCCCCCCCCCCCCCCATCTCTCTGATCTGCTACAACCGTATGTCCCACCGCGTTCCCTGAGGTCAGCGGACCAGTTGCTCCTCACAGTTCCAGGAACTCGTCTTAAGCGCAGAGGTGACAAGGCCTTCTCTGTAGCAGGACCAAGACTTTGGAACGAGTTACCTCTGCTTGTCAGACTGGCCCCCTCCCTCTCGGTTTTCAAGTCCCGTTTAAAAACCCACTACTATTCGGTGGCTTTCAACACCAGATGATCTGTGTTTTGATCCTGTATGCTCCACACTGGTTTGTCGTCATTATCTGCATCGTTTTTATGTCTATATTCTGATTTACCTCATTTTGTATATTGCTTTGTGTGTTGTCTGTTGTTTTGTCTGTACAGCACTTTGGTTGGCCTTAGTCGCTGTTTTAAGTGCTCTATAAATAAAGTGGTATGGTATGGTATAATCTAAGTAATGACAGAGCCAAACATTTGTTTTGAAGAGTATGGGCTTTCTTTTAAAACTTCAGATTAAAACCTAATCCTGTTTGTCCATTATTTTGGTTTTTAAATCCTAAATTGTGGAGAAATTTGGAGATTTTTTTTTAATAAAAAAAATAAAATCAAGACCAAATTCTTCAAATTTCACTGGATTTATGGGAACATCTATGACACTATATTTTAACAACAACAACAACAA